CCCCGACATTATAGCATCCTTCCATCTCATAATAACCCCTGACTTTATAGCATCCTTCCATCTCATAGTAACCCCTGACTTTATAGCATCTTTCCATCTCATAGTAACCCCTGACTATATAGCATCCTTCCATCTCATAGTAACCCTTGGCATAAAGTAATGGAACTCAGTTCCACATGTTTTACATACCAATATTTTGATGAGAGAAGATAACATTTGAACAGGAAAGTCTGGTAATCCCAATGAAGTGGACTCACTTGTCAGTAAAGTTGTAGCAAATGATAAAACCTGAGATACTCTGAAAAAGAAATTAAATAAAATTAAAATTATGAATATCTCATAATGTATAGATGAAAGACACATGTAAAGTCATACTCAAATAAATATTACTTATTGTGAAATGAAATATACTTACTTTTCAGGGGGTACATTAGGCTCACAAAATATACTTACTTTTCAGGGGGTACATTAGGCTCACAAAATATACTTACTTTTCAGGGGGGTACATTAGGCTCACAAAATATACTTACTTTTCAGGGGGTACATTAGGCTCACAAAATATACTTACTTTTCAGGGGGTACATTAGGCTCACAAAATATACTTACTTTTCAGGGGGGTACATTAGGCTCACAAAATATACTTACTTTTCAGGGAGTATAATTAAGCCCATAAAATATACTTACTTTTCAGGGGGTATACATTGTAATTAAGCCCATAAAATATATTTACTTTTCAGGGGGTATAATTAAGCCCATAAAATATACTTACTTTTCAGGGAGTACATTAAGCCCATAAAATAATTACTTTTCAGGGGGTATAATTAAGCCCATAAAATATACTTACTTTTCAGGGAGTACATTAGGCTCACAAAATATACTTACTTTTCAGGGAGTACATTAGGCTCACAAAATATACTTACTTTTCAGGGAGTACATTAGGCTCACAAAATATACTTACTTTTCAGGGAGTACATTAGGCTCACAAAATATACTTACTTTTCAGGGAGTACATTAGGCTCACAAAATATACTTACTTTTCAGGGAGTACATTAAGCTCACAAAATATACTTACTTTTCAGGAAGTACATTAGCTCACAAAATATACTTACTTTTCAGGAGTACATTAGCTCACAAAATATACTTACTTTTCAGGAGTACATTAAGCTCACAAAATATACTTACTTTTCAGGGGTACATTAGCTCACAAAATATACTTACTTT